GGCTGCAGTGGGAGACCAGGGAGGCTGGGACATATTTTGGCTGATACTGAATTTCAAGCAAAGAAATTTATACCGAATTTATTTTTATGCTTTTAATTTCTGCACAAAGAATTAGAGGTAAAGGTGACAAAGGATATATCCAATAGGAAGAAGAAAAAAAAAGGACCAACCAAGTTGGGAGGAAGCACATATTTTAGCCAAAAAACTATTGATTGAACATATAGCAAAAATGTTTTATAACCTTGTCAGAAAGAAGGAGAAATGATTTCACACACAAGGAAATCAGCTGTACTCATTACCTAATTCAGCAAAGTTAACCATTAGACGTGTAAGCAAGTAAATTATATCAGAATGATGCTTAAGGAAAATTAACATGCTATATTGTAAGATGAAGGAAGAGTGCAAGGAGAAATGGATTGAAACACACTAGTACTAGAGACATGGGAGCAAGCATGGTATTGAGACTAAGGAAGAGGATAGATGGGAGACTTGTTGGAGTGATGGAATCGGTTTACCATTTGCAATCCATGAGGATGAGCGGTTGGTGGGATAAGAAGTATGTGCATAAGTTTTGAGTCCAGGCGACTAGAAGGAAGAACCGATGAGAATGGGTTTTGAAGAGACTCTGAGAGACTGGTTTGTGAGGTATCTATTGGATATCATCTGAATGATGGCCTGGAGCCGCGTTAAGAAGAGATCAGACCTTGAAATACACTTCTGGATAACCCATGCAAACATATCACCTGGCCCAGATTTAAAAGAGAGGGTTGTGGCGAGAGACTACAAAGATTCTATAAAATAGGGACGTACTAGCCACCTGTAGGAGATCTAATGGCACAGGGGTGTAGGTGTTAGACTACTAAACAGAGGTCAGTGGTTCAGATGCACTAGCTGCTCTACGGGAGAAAGATAAGGCAGGCTGTTTCCAAAATGATGTCCAGCCCTGGACACCTCATGGAGTAGTTCTTCCACTCTGCTCCTTTGGGGCACTGTGAGTCAGAATCCTCTCCACAAGATGGTGGGTGAGCACATGCTGGGTCTGAATGTAAATAAGAAATTGGCTTTCATGTTCATACCACATTCCAAGTCCTCAGTAACTACAAATGACTAGTGGGTACTTTATTTAACTTTACAAATAAGGATTT